TTTTTTGCTTTCTGTTGTCAGCATGAGACTCACAAAATATTAATAAAATCAATCAAAATACAGCTCCTATGTCTCTACAGCTGCACGGGTACGAGCTGAGAGACACATAGAAGCCATAAGTTATGGAATTTTGAAGGTTTCATAGATTTAGATAAAAGCTAAAAGTAATTGATTAAGGCACAATTTGAAGACTAAATGTAAAAGAGAAAAGGCAGAGAGAGACTGTATTTGATATGTGAAACAAAATGGAACAAAAACGAAATAAGTATTGAGATAATACAAAAATACAGAAGATTAAGGAATATACTAAACATTGTCCGGTTATAAGGGCTGCACAACCGCAGATCAGCGATAACTTGCGCCATTTGCATGGAATCGATAAGAATCGATATCGTGCTTCGGTTTTCTGAGCATACCCTATATCGAAGCTTTTGAGAACTAGACATATCAAACCCGGTTTGCACTCTCTTATATCGTATGCTGAGATTAATGAATGTGTAAACTTTTTAGATATACCCTCAGTTCGGGTTGATGTGCAGGGGTATCGACTATCGACTAGTCGGGCAGTCTGGGCTAAAAAAAAACTCTTGCTCTTCTGCTTGTTTTTATTGCTGTCGCCCGAGCTGGGACCCAGGGCACGCACACAATCATAATATGTGGCTTACATGCACGTAGGACAACTCCAACTGTCAATATTTAATTTAAGCACACGCCGTAGCACCTGTACACACAGAGCCAGATAGAAAGAGAGTGAGAGCTGGCGAAAGCGGCTGAGAGCGAGAACTGAAGAAAAACTGTTTGCGTTTGCATTAAGTTTGAATTATGCATTTTCATTTGAACTTCACGAATATTTTTCCGCCGGCTTCTCTGCCAGCAATCGCTGGAAAGCGTCGTCGTATTTATTGAACGGCTAACGCTTATTGGCATTGCATGCTTTTAGGCTGCTTTGGGCCTTGGCTTCCATCCATGGGGCGCCATGGGCCCATAACTCTCAGGTGCAGATTGCGTGGCCAAATGAAATGAAATAATGAAAACAATTTCAATGCGCGTGCATTGAACTGCAATCGACAGGACGCCAGGACAACGGCACAGGACAAAGCAAACGGTACGCGTACAGCCAGTGCAAAAGGCAGCTACAAACTTGGAGCAAAATACCTATTAGTTATGCTACGTGAATTTAATGGGTCTGAGGACTTTTGGCCAGACCTCAGACGCTGAGCTTGCCAGCACGGCACACGAACAGTTGGGGATTACCTAATGCCAAGCAAGAACAAATAAATACCTAAAAAAAGAGTGTGCTCAATTGGAAAGTGCCCCACCCGGAGATACCCTGTACCCTGTACACGAGCAACCGTCACAATCACTAGAACTTCCCTTTAACACATGTATCTACTCAATCACACATACACACACACAGAGGCACACTTAATCCCGCCCGCCGCTTGCTGGACACTTGCTTCTTTTCCTGTCATATACGAAATGTGTTCCTGATTAACTCGACTGTTTATGGTCCGATTCTTATGAAATGTTCAGGTCTCGAAAATGGCATCAAAAAGTGTGTATATACTTAATCTTAAGGTTCTACCTTCAGAAATGCTTATTTTCCTGTTTTGGTGAAAACAGCGGGAGTTATCCAAAAAGTAAAATATTTTTCATCTTATATGCTATAAAACAGACCACACACCAGGTTGATTTATCTATCTCTCAATATCTTACATTAAGGCCCCAGTTATATATATAATTGCATAAAAGCAATATGAAATTTTAACCGATGTTCAAAGGGCACGGATTCTCCAGTTTTTAGAAATGACCGTGATGCGAACCGCACTCTATTCAGTTTCAGTTAAGAAAGATATTAGAACTCAGCGCTCATGAAAACTAGTTCAACGAAAAGAGACATCAGCTTGAATCCTAAACTGAGCCACTTAACTCTTCACGCCACAATGGAACCCTCATTTTAATGCTGTCCCCTTATGCTCCACATGTACGTTCCGCGCTTCGTATGAGATAGTTGAGCGCATTTGGCTTTGGCATGATTTCCATTCAAATGTGGCCACTTTGATAGCTGGCTTTTGTAGCGCACTGTTTGGCTTGGGATTTGAGGCCTTTGTCAATGTGAAACCGGGAGCTGTGCATATATAGCAAATCGCTAACGACCAAAGACAAAGAGCCGTAGCTGGTCGCTTGGTGTGCGCATATGCATATATCCGGCTGTCATCGCTGGGACGCATCCTGTGCGATTGGCAAAATGTCACGTACATGTCCAAACATGCAATAAACTACATAAATGTTGCGTTTTAAAGTTAGCACCAAGGCAGCGACATGATGCCAACATCCGCCCAGCCTTTGGCCGCCAGAAGCAGCAGGTTATCCAGAAAGGCGGCCAGCGCCGGAAGTACTGGCATATTCGTGAAATAGATACCGCATCGAAAGCCACCCCTTTCCGCCCTTCTCCCCGCCCCCTTCTTTCCAGCGACTGTGTGCGTTCATCATTTGCCACGTTCTCGTGCGAGCCGGCGACTGCAGCTAATGTCAACGTCAGGGCTGCTCCTTTGCCGCTTTGCCTCGCCTTTCGCCGTTGGGGGCAAGTTTCTGCCGCTTTGAGTCGTCAAATGTCTGAACTGGGCCGCAAGGGCGTGACGTCATGCCAGAACAACAACAGCAAAAGCAACAACAAAAACAAAATTAAAATTAAAATATGTATAAAAATATTAAGCTCGTGCCAGACGAGTCTGCTCGACTTGCAAGTGCCCTGTACACAAAGCGAATGCATATTGCAAAATTTAATATATTTAAATATATTTATACCAAAAAACATGCACACAAGAATAAATTATTTAATAAATTTTCGAAAATATTTTCTACAACTTTCAACTGAAAAATAATCTCAGTTTGGTTTTAGATAGGATTCAAAAGTACCCTCTCCACATGCACTGTCACCGCATTTAAGTGCCCTCATATGCGCTCTGCTCATATACAGGGTATTTAAATGTAGAGTAGATGATGAAAAAGTGGAAGATGTAGAGAAACTAGTAACACATTGCTTTCCATTTTCAGCACACTTGAACATGCTTCCGCACTTAGGCGTGTGCGTAGAGTGGAACTGGAACTCGAGCTCGAACTGCAGCTGGAGCTGAAGCTGAAGCTGGAGCTGGAGCTGGATGTGGCACAGGGGTGGGCTGTGTTTCTGTGTGTGTGTGTGTGTAGCACGTTGAAGTGGTGTGAGTGACACGAGCTGCAGTCTCACAAAGACCCCGCGCACAATCTCCATCCATGTAAGCCTTATCCTTAGCCTACCACCCGCAGGCAACAGCCCATTAAGTGTGCACTTCACACGCCTACTAAGTTCATATTACTTAGTTGCGTTTTGTGATGGCCCTGCTCGCCTTTTGCCCCCCTCTAACAGTATGGTGCACCAGCGTCTTGACGGGCTTTTGATTAGCAGAAAGGCAGAAACAAGGAACGCGGTTCGAGCCCCAGCCAGGTGTATGGATGTGGGGCTTGTAATTATATCCTACACTTTGTTGTATCTTATCAACTTTGAAAGCCATGTTGTCGCAGCGCAGTTAAAACATTTAACATTCATCAGCACAACTCGCCCCAAACTCATATTGGGCAAATACCGCAACGGATTGGGCAAGTATTTCAAAGCCATTTTTAAAGCAATGCCAAAAATAAGGCTTCGCTAGGGTCTCAAATATGATTTCGATTGTTCAAAAACAATTTTGAAACCGTTTTCAAAACAGTTCGGACAAAGGTTACAAAATAAATAAATTTCAAACTATTAAGACAATTTTCAAAGCCTTTAGAAACCGTTTTTTGTTTATTTTGAAACCGCTTTTAAAATATATTTCTTTTTATTTCTTGGCTATTTTTAAACCACTTTCAAACCAGTCCGAGACCCAGGATTGGGACGTTGTTTGTATTTTTCTACAAACAAATTTGCAAATATTTTAAAGTCATTTTTCAAAACTCCTTAGAATTCTAAATGGAAGCCAATCCTCTTAACCCTCAACCCCCCGCCCTAGCCCAAAGCAAGCCAATTCCAAATTTAAACATTGTTAAACAAAACTTGTTCTACTTGCGAGTTGCTTGTTTAAAAATTAACATCAAACCATAATCGATTTTGTTTGTTTTTCAGAGCCCAAAAGCTGCAGCCCATAAGCCCCAAATAAACAACCCCCCCCCCCCCTCCTTCCCTCCCTTACCAACACAAACCACTCGCCTAACCTCTCAAGGGGCAGAAGCTGCAAATTTAATTACGCCCCAGCGAGCGAGAAGAAGAAAAGTACTAGACACAGTCACAGACACAGACACAGCAGCCGAAAGAGCAGCAAATGGCAACAAGGTAGCAGGGCGGGGCCAGCAGGTGGGTTAGGTGGGTCGGGTGGGTTCGGGTGGGTCAGTTGCTGCGGTGGTGCGTTGGCCACTGTAGCCAAGAAACGCCACATTTTCAAACATTCACGAAATGCTTTTAATTGTGCACTTAAGGCTCGTAAAATGTGATTTAATAGTCTTATTTTTGTGGAAGGGGGCAGCCGGAATACCTGACGGGCTGCCTGCCGGGTCACCTGAGGGGGGCACCTGCCGGGGCACCTGACCGGAACTGCTTTGCCGGCCAATGTCCTAGTTGTTTGGCTTTGTAGCGCAAACAGGAAGTGGAGCACGTTATAAGTTGGTCGCGCAGTTTTCCTATTAAGCCGTAAGCGCCTGACAGACCAATTTGAGGCGACAATCCACCTGCCGCCCGTCGTATGTCGAACGGGCAGGGGGGGCGGTGCTAAAAGCGAACAACAAATGCGAATTGTTTTCCATTTAGCTGTGGATTTTTGTTTCTTCGATGGGGTCGCTGTGCTGGGCGGCCTGCTGAAATCTTTAAGAAAATTCAAGTGGCACACACTCGTGATCTCGTCGCCAAGTCTCAAAGCAATTTAAAGTGTTTTCGCTGAAGAAAGCCAAGGAGGGGTATTTTGGTTTTAAGCTGAGAACACACACAAAAGTTTTTATTTATTAAATGCGCTCCCAACAAAACTGTAATTTCGCTGAGATCTACGATAGATAGTACCCGGATGAGTTAGGGGTCCTTTCCCGTTTATATTCCCACTCTTTTCCCGTATTTGCGAATTGAATCGCTAATTTGTTTATCCTCATATTTAAAACCAGATAATTTGAAAGGAATCAAAGTGCAGACTTTCTAAACTTTCTAAAAGGTTTTGATTTTTTTCGTTCGCTTTTTCTTGAACAATTTTACAGTTGTTCAAATACGATTTGTGCCTTAGATTAAATATCCTACCAACAGTTATTGTGTCCTTCGGCATGGAATTGGGAGTTTCGTCTTATACCCTTAAAGAATGTGTCAGCATAAAGAAATCCCGTGAAATCGAGGAGCCTTAAATTCGAACTTGGTAAGTCTGTGGATCCACAATCAAACTCAATGTCTAATGTTCTTCAATACCAGTTTTACATCTCAACCGAACTAAAAATCTCACCGCCTGCTGCTGGCATTCAGTTAGGTCTGTTTCTGTAGCTTGTGGAACTATTGGTGCCAGTCCTGTGATCGGTGCCACCAGGCGGAGGCCTCACGTCCTCCACCAGCGAATAGAGATCATTTTCCCGCTGCACAAATCCATGCAGCCAGGCAGCTGTCAGTGTATTGTCCACGGGCAGACGCACCTCGACAATCGACCTGTCCGTCATCTCGGCCACATATTCCACCACTTCTTCTAGAGCCATTGGGCGCCGGAACTCCATAAAGGCCTCTAGTATTAGATCCCCATAGCGATATCTTGACATGCCCAAACTTAAACAGCTGAATACAAATCAATTTCGACGGAGCTGTCCGAAATTTTACGACTACACAAACGATTTTTTTGATAGGTCAGGCTTAGAACCATGAGCTGCCTAGAGCTAAACAAATCTGGAGAGTTTTTCTCTATTTAAAACTCAGTACGAACTTTGTATGAAGGGTTTTGAAAATAATTTTGAAGCCAATCGGACAAAGCATAAAACTTCGCTCAAAAGGAAAAGAAAGCTCAAAGGAATTAAATAAGTCCCTTGGATGTGAATTGGAACCACAAACATCACCCAACAAATATTTGATCGACATTTCCTCCAAAGAAGAATTGAAAAGTTCGACGAAATTCTATATAAAAGGCGAGAGAATGTTTATTCGATTAAAAATGCAGCTTGCTTGCCTTACTTGAATTAGTGAGAATCGCGTAGTAGAGCAGCATTTACAAAAGCGCAACTAGCGGTAAACTTGGTCTTGCATATAAACATATACATATACAAGAATAATGCTGCTAAATTTAGATCTAGATCTAGATCTATATCTATAGGCCGAGCAATAAGATAGGATAAGATTTGACCGAGTTGTGGGGATAGGAAATTTCGGCCTATCTCGATATAGGATATTTGAGGGTAACTTTTTACATGTATTTGACCAAGAACAATGTTGTCAGATTTAAATGCCAAATTGATCTAGAAGCCAAGCCATGAGTAAAAGCCCAATTCATATGAAAATCGATTCAGTTTTGACCGAGTTATGGATATGAGAAATTTCGATCAATATCCAGCGGGATGCTCTGATCCCTTCAGCTCCTTAACATGCCCGCAAATAAAGGAAGAACCCATTTAAAGTCGATCCAGATCAAGAATATATATATACATTTTTTTTATTCTATGCAATACCCATTTCGTACGAACATTAATAATACCCTCGGCAAAGGCATAAAGAGCAAAATAGAATTTGAAATGTAAAATTTTAATTTTTGCTCAGAGATAGTTACCTGCTTTTTGGCTACTTTCCTGACTGAGCTTAGCGACAATTACACAAGCCGCGCCCCTTCCCCTTGACAGGGGCGTAAAGCAGTTGGCTTTTTCTTTTTGGTGGGGGGATATTGGGCCAGGGGAGGAGTTGCTCTGCTGGGACCCGTTAGACACAGTGAGACTCAAATGTTTATGCTCACGATTGTTTGTTGTCGCTTTTCGTTTTCTTTTGGACTCTCGCTTGGCTGAGTGGATGGACTGTGGGATGGGGCAAAAGGTGGGAGTGGGGCAGGTGGGGCGTGTGTTTGGCATGCGCCCACACCACGCCGCCAGATGGCGCTGGGCGATTATTCCGTTAACATTTACAGCGACTGCAGTTAAATTGGAGCATTACGCCATTTTGGACATTTTGGGCAATGTTGGGCGATTGGCCTATTTAAACTGGCCATATTGTTGTTGTTGCACTCTCTCTCTCTCTCTCTCTCTCTCTCTCCCTGGTAGGGTATTATAAGTTCATCACGCAACATGTAACGCCCAAAGCATATATGCATCGCCAAACAGCAGTACATATATTCTCCAGCAGACAAGATGATATATGCAAATCGGTTGGAAATCATTTTCTGTTTCTCACGATATCTTAGCCAATCTTAGCCCTTACATGCTACTACCAATATTGGCTTACTATATAATAAAGTTCTGATAGATAAATAGGTCATAAAAGAACAATATCTTGCTTCTTAGGATATCCACCAAACACCTTATATACGATCAAAGTCTTTCCAATATCGATCTACCAACTGATATTTGTATGATAAGCCTTGATAGACATATATCGATCATAAAAATAAACTTGTATGTTCTTCAAGATATTCACAACAAGCCCACAAGCTGCCCTACGTTTCTGCTTATCTGCAGGACTATGTCAATCGAAAAGAATAATATACCATGTCCGTAAGGGTATTCAATCTTTGGCGTACTGCAGATAGCCGTTCATTTTTGCTCTTACTGCTGTTGCCCGTTCTGTGCGCCCCGATTGCCATTTGCAGGCACACTTTAAGATTTGTCATTTGCGATAAGCCAAAAAGCGTTTTAAGTTTTCGGCTTAAAGATGTTTCCCACATCGGTGGGAGATACCTGCTTTTGGGGGCTGGCCTCTTGAGCTGCACTTGGTTTTCATGTAATTGAAAATTTGCTTAGCCGTCCGCTAGTAATTGGCTCTGACACACACACACACACACACACACACGCACACAACTGAATGCTTAACTATTTCGAAAATTGCTTTTAATATGCTAAAGTTTTGCTTAGAGCATATCACAGTAAATGAAATAAACGCACGCAATTTGCATTGCCGTCGTTAAAGCCAAGTTAAGATGTTGGCCCAAAAGCTGGTATACCAGAAAGTTCCAATATGCCCACTTGGATATCATTTTTGAAACAATTTCTTTAGCTTTTTTTTTCATTTATTAATAATAATAATAATAATATAAAAGGTCTTGGAGTCGATCTTTTAGCGGTTTACAGCTATAACATATCAGAACTCAATAAAAAAAAAATCCCTAAATAAACAAATTTGAAAAGAATAAATATAATTTCTTAATGTTGATTTACCTTATTTTTGCTTGGAATCAGCTTAGCTGAAACTGATATTGCATATTTTTGTGGTCGTCTTAGGAAACTCTGCTCCGGGAATCTTACTTCTTAAAATTTCCAGTGCAAGTGCACAAATGTTTGTTAATTAATAACAGTTTTGGTGAATTGAATATTTTGTTTTTGTTGTTGCTCTCAGATATTTTGTGACTAATTTCGATTAAAGCCCCGCAACCAGTTTGGGCCTTCATCTGGAACCGACTGCAGGCAGCAGGACATTCCCATAGAAAAGCTTTGAACTCTGCATATAGATAGATAAGTGCGTGGGCCGTTCGATAAGTAATTGCTCAAAGTGCGCACAAGGATGCCAAGCATTTATCGTTTATCGATAATGTTATCGAAATCGCTTGCAATGGCTTGAACATTTGAGAATTACATCAATCTACTGCGATTGTATGCGATATTATCTCATTAATATATACTTTTTGTATAAATATATACTATATTTCAGCATATGTATATATATATATATATATATATATATATATATATATATAATATGAATGTACAAATGTTAGTGGAAAAATCTAATTTTTTAACGGGAAATGCTTCAGCAATCTGGCAACGCCCAAGACCCTATTTGACATAAGAAATAAAGCACAATTAACGACCTATATAACCATACAATTTTCACTTGTTAATGCGAAAAAATAAAAACAAAAGTGCCCTAGTCGGCAGTGCCCGACTAGGGGATACCCTAGGCCTGCAGCTCACATTACGCGCTTGTTAACCTGAGATTTAAAGCTAATCAACAATATATAGGATATTCTGTATGGACTTGGAGATGATGCCTTCTGCTACTTACATACATTTACACAAAACCCTATTATGGAAGAATGGAACTTTATGACTTGCTGTTGCTTCTACAAAGGATCTGCATCTGATCAACACATATCCGGCATATATCTGGCAGAGAATCAAGGGAACGCATCCGTGATCTAATTAGTTGATATTTGGATTACTTTTGGAGCGGCCCTGGCGTTGGATACGGCATGTTGCCCGTGAAATATGTCAAATCGCTCAACAATTTGCGTCTCTCTAATGAATTTGAGTCCCGAAAATCGATTGGCAGACATCTCTTCGAGCACACCCCCCTTTAGTTTAGTCCCCGCTCCACGCCGCACCACGACTGCCAGCCTGACAAATGGGCGCTCGGCTTTGACTTTGACTAATGGAATTCCATGGGCTCAGAGGATGTGCAATAAAATAATTGCATGCCATGCACTAATTTAAGTGAGAATCAACGGCTATGAGCCTTCAATTTGCCAAAGGCCCCCTCAGCCCGCTCAACCCCGCTTCCAGCACAGACCCTCGTCCATTTTGCCCAAAATGTCTTTGGCGCATTTTGTGTCAATTGAAATCTTGAGTCAAATTGCATCTTAAATATTTTGATGCGATTTGATGCAAATTAATTGTAATTTCTCTCACTCCCTCTCTCTCTCTCTCTCTGTCTCTGTCTCTCCCTCTCTGTCTACGCTGTGAATTGAATATTATTCTATTCACATTTGCTTATAATTACATCGGACCTGCTTATCTTTTGTGATTGCCGCAACTTAATTCGTTTGTCAATGAAATGCGTTTGTTTATTGAATTTAATTACGTAAATTCCTTAAACACTGAAATTCCTCCGAATGCTCAAGGATCTAGCTTTTTAAGCCTCAAGCAAAGAACAGCGTAAAACAGTTCAATTTACAAGCCACAAGTCGGCAGTGTCCGACTAGCAGATACCCTGGAATACCCCGAAACAAACATTGGACCAATGCGCAGAGTTACAGTCAAGCAGATATATTCTGGCCCTGCGTATAGTATAGCCATGGATCTAAATTTGTGTTCTTAAGGTCAAAAAACAAATTTCGATATTGTATGTTTATCAATGTGTATCGATTTCATGGAAACGCGACAAGCTATCGATAATTTGAATCAGAAGTCATCTCCGCTGGCATAAGAAGCAGCTACATCGAAAATTGTAAGTCTCCATACGACTCTATCGACTCGACTGTTGATGCTGCTTAGGAATATCTGTAACAAATATGCTTTGATGCTTTCTCCTTCCTCCTGCACATCATATAGACTTTCTTATTCATTTTAAAACAAGTTCAGGTCATAGGAGTTAGGGTATATGAGTGAGGCCAGGCAAATCTGCGATTGCATTTGCGCCCAAAGGACTCGAAACAAAATGTCCAAATCAAAGACCTCATTCCGAATTCTGTTTGCCCTTCGGCCATGTGGATGCGACTGCTGATGGCGCTGGCGATAGAAGTACGGGAAGGGTATGGGGCGCACAGGGCTCTAGCCGAATAGTGCAACTGCTTTGCAGTTGTTCTCAATTGACGTTTGTTGTGGCCAAGCGCCACAAAATGAAGCGCATTGTGCCCGTGGCAAATGGTTTGCAATCGCTTTCAAACAAAAGGTCCCACTGACTAACCAAGTTGCAAAACGAATGGGCCGCTGAAGGGCGGACGGACGGTTGGTCGGGCTAACCCGTTGCAGATGCGGCCATTAACATTCGCATTCGCAAACGCAAACGCATCCCAAAATGCATGAAAAACAAGCCAAGAAATCAGTCCACAGCGTTTGCACTGCAAAATGTTGTTTTAATTGCGTTTCACTTCGGACCAGTTGTTTGTTTCGACCATCGCGACGGTTTGCGCGTGGTGGCCACCCGCCTAGTGGGTGGGTGGAGAAGGGGGCGGGGTGGCTGCAAAGCGCAGCCAATTGGCAAAAATGCTTTGACATTGGGCCCACGGCTACAAGTCCATTGGCATCCGCCAATAGCAACAACAACAACAACAACATTTGCGTTGAATATTTTGCAACACACGCACACACAGGAATATACGACCCATTTGATACACTTTCTTCAGGAGCAGCAGTCGTACACTTAGCGAAAGACAACACTCTAAATGCTTATTTGTTTGGCATAGAAAATGACAGTTCGCTTTTGGCATAGGGTATGTGAAAAATCAGGTTCGCGAACCTCAGTCAGGGTGCCGTGAGTTGAGCCAGCGACCTTACAAAAACTATAGTCCGAACTTAAAAGCTAGTTTGATAAGCAATACTTCTGTAAAACAACCGAACAAACTTTGGGGTTTTTTCAAGAAAAACTATGACTTTTGTTTGACAAGAAATCAATTCCGAACTTCATAATCAATCCTAAGCATATAAAGTCTTCTATCGATATCGAGTTAATGTTTTATATAGAGTCTGCTTTATGGCTAAAAGGGTATTTAAATTAGAGATTATTAATATAGATATATTCAACTAATACTCCTGTTTAACCCATAGGTGATCGGGGCACAGTCTAAGCCGCCTTCTAAAATCTTTACTGTAGTTACCTTGTGTTAAATTCCACCCGCAAGCGTGGAAAATGAGCGGAGTTGCATACAAATCTCTCGCTTAACCATTTCATTCGCTTTTGCACTTATATTTCACACGATTTCCACACGTTTCGCAAAATGAATACCCCCGAGTGAAAAAGAGGCGTTCAAAAGATTCATGGGGGAAACTTGAATTTCCCGCTTTAACGCCGCTGATCGAGCTGAGCAAAAGGACAAACGTTATGCTCGCATCGCAATGCCCGTTTGTTGTGTGTATCAAATACAAAATTGACTGCATCATTTGCAGCCTCTAATTGCCGCGCTTTGCGGCTGCCTTCAATTGGTATTCACATTCACATTCACATTTGAATTTGGCATTGCCATTCGCTTTTCTATTCGTAATCGCATTCATCACTTGAATTCGCCGCACTCGAAAATGTGCAATCGACCTTTCGGATGTGCACTGAGCGCGCTTTGTGGTCACCGCGATAAACTGGGCTAAAGTGAAGCAGCATGCGCGCACAGTTGATACCCTGTAGGATATCCTTTGAAATATGCCCCATTCATAAAAATCGGTTATCGGTTTGGCAAAGTTATGGCAAGTTTATAGGGAAGTGTATGATTTTTGAGCAAAAATACACCCCTTCAGATTCTTTTTAGGATAGTATTTTTATTTATTGCCAATATTAGTAGAATTTTGATGAATCTCTATTGGCCTTAAACAAATTTTGAAAGCTGTCAATGTAATTTGTATAAGGACGCTTGGTCCGGGTCCGGACAAAGCCGGGTAATGCAGGGTAGTAAACAATAAACTTATTAAAAAACGAACATTTCAATGTATGCTGCTCAGGGCGAAAATAAAGCAGAGCAGTAAGTACGACAATGCAGAACAAGTGCAGGGTATCTACGAGTCGATAGAGTCCGATCAAAAGTGAACTAAACAGATAGTTAACAGGATTTCCAAAGCATTTTGCTGCGTAAGACTAACATACTTGATAATGCATATTTTTTGACAATATTTTAATTGTTACAGGGTATTCAAGAGAAACTCCCTTTTTTTTTGCATTTCAGCTTTGATTTGATTAAGCATACAGTATGATAAATATTTAAATTTTCTTATGGATCAATAAGGAACAGTTGAGTAGAAAATATCATGCTTTAAACAGAAAAAACGGTGCTCTGATAATAAATTAGACTTTTAAATACACTTACTCTACAATAATGAAATATGTAAGTTGTAAGTTTCAAATAAATGATAATAAACAACAACAAATTAGAGAAAATTGCGCTCATTAAACAACTGACAACCTCATAATATATAAATGGAAAAAAAAAAAAATTACAGGGCTAAATGCCCTTAAAATATGTGACAATAACTCTGGTCTTTAATGCACATGCAAATGGAAAGCTGCTGAAACAGGCGGCGGACTCTGGGGAGTCCTGCTGGCTGCCTGGCTGGCAGATGGCTGCAGCCGGAGTTGGGCAGCAGGCACAGCGCGGCGGTTAGCTGCGATGCGGCATTAAAAATGTATTGGAATTGATTTTGCTGTTGCTGCCGTGCTGAACATCTCCCAGGTGGTTGGCTGTCCACGCCGATGGTCAACGGCGCATTCAGCTGCAGCGCCCGTTTATCCAGTGTCCGCTGACTGCTCCCCATGCGCGCGTATTGTCATCAAAGTAAATGGAAGCATGTCGCCTATTTTTTGTTTTTAATATAAATATCAGCCTCCTGCTCCTCAGTCAGGCATTTCCTTCTGCTCCAGAAAGAAGTTGCTTCTCCTTCTGCTCCTCGTCTGCATGCTGCTCCTTCATGACCTCCTTCTCATCCGCCCGTTCAGCGCCTGCCGCGCCTAGCCTCACCGGCAGCCTTGCGGAAACGATTGTGTGCACCGCTACCAAATTGTTTGCTAGCCGCCAGCAGGGCCGAGGAGCCGGCAACCTCATCCTTTTCTGGCAAATGAGCCACATGCAGTATATCCCAGAGCAGTTTGCCGCACTCCTGTGACTGCAGTAGCTCGGCCAGCTCCGTTTGGCTGCGCTGCAGCAGCTGACGCAGGCTGCCGCCCTTGCGGAGCACAGCGTGCACATTGCGCGTATGGATGCCGGGCAGACGCAACAGAAAATCATATATGGCACTGTTATACTGCAACTGATCGCCGGCTGCTGCCGCCCCGCCAGACTCATCGCTGCCCAAGGCGGCGGCCACCTGGGCATCCGGCTCCGGTTTGCCCAGTTTAAGCTCCTCGAACAGCTGGGCCGTGGCATACGGACTGGGCGACCAGATCAAACGCAGCCTGGGAAAATGAAGTGTGAGCAACTGCAGCTTCTGCATAATGTCCGCATTGGTTGCCGTCGTCTGCTGGGAGAGCATAAACTTGCCCTGCAAGTGGAACGGACGATTCTGATCGAACTCAATAAGCAGTATGGGCTTCGCATAGTAACGCTGCATTTGGACACACTGATTGTAGAGGCGGCCCGAGTTCAGGGATCCAATTAGATCCGATATGGATTTGCGCTCCACACACACATCCGGCGTCAGAATGTAATCCCCAATGGTAATTGTTACGGGCAGCACCTCCAAGCCGCGACGATGGATTAGGCACGGCAAATCCGACCGAAATTCACGCATGTCCACAATCACTTTCGGTGTTACTCGGGCGCTACTCAATGCCACGCCCATTGCGGCACCCTGTCGTGTTTTGGCATTTGCAGACTCCTCCTCATCGTCGTAGCGTTTGTAGAGCACAAATGCTTCATCCGTTTTGCCATCCTGGTACTCGGGTATGACCATTTTCTGTGAATGTGAATGGCATTTCAATCGCGATGTGAGAAGTTCCACAAAAACTCGCACAAATAAAGGCTAGATTGGCCAGCAGATACCCTGGACAAAAAGTTGTTGATCGAATCGAAACACTCGTATATGCTGCTGCCTTGAGAAGGATTTGTTGCCAATTCTTGAACTCTCGACTTTCTGACTTTAAAGAACTTTTTTTTCCCTAATCAAATCGGAGCCCAATTCAACAATTCACTATTTAGCTTCTATGAAAATATAAATAAAAAAAATCCATTCGCAAAAGTCTTAAAAATGAATACAAAAAAAAAAACTGAGACCGGGCAAGGTAGGGTAATATAATAAATAATTATAATAATGCTAAATAACGCAGAACTTTTTTCTTTTCGTCAACTTTTTGCATGTTTGTATGTACAAATGTATGCATGTGTGTATTTGTACATATATATGCAGGCATGTATATATGTATGTATGTAGGTATTTATGTACACATGCACGCATGTATATATAGTTTTGCACCAAACGACGACAAACTTTGATTTCTGCTGCGCTGCAAATTTAAGAAAAGTTTTTGCACTGGTCGCCCTCCTACTCGATTCTCATGAATTCAAGTAAGGCTTGCTGGTTTCATGCTTTTGTTTTGCTTTGGTGTGCATGTATGTACATGTATGTATGTATGTGCATGTATGTATGTATGTATGTATGTATGTACATATATGTATGTATGTGTTTATGTACATGTATGTATTAATGCATTTTCCTGTTGGTATTTACATATGTGAGTTCCGATGTATGTGTGTGTGCATTTGATTCTCGTGTACTCAAAGTCTGTCAGGTTTATATGCTCTGATTACAAATCTTGGTGTTATACTAGCATGTTCTGTTGACGATCTAAGCAGCTGTATCTCACATACCTACTCTCTATCTGTCTGTCTCTCTCGCGCTCATTGTCTTCCCCTTCGCCGACCTCTACACTATATTCCATAGTCTGTATGTCTCCTACTAATAGATGGTACCCACATATATATCTTAATATATTAATGGAAACATATGCTAAGGAGCTGGGCATAGGGGATTTCCTAGCTTACTATTGAGAATAATATAACAAGGGCCTTTGGGCTTCACTTACGCTCTTTGTATCGATGATGAGCTCAAAGGCGGTCTTCTCACGCCGCAGACTCGTCAGATAGGATTGCTCCTCGACGGTGCGCGCATGGATTAGAAAATAGATTTTCATGCGTTCGACGGGCGGGCGACGGCGACGCGCCTCAAACACCTCCAGCTGGCGTATGGCAGTCACATTCGTGTTGTACATGATGACATAGTGGGGCTGAAGCTGATCGAGCATATGCTCCACGGCCATTGCACCCTCGCGTTCCGTCTTGAACGTTTGCAGGCAAATCCAAGGCTGCATGTTGGCAGCCAGCGCAGCGGACACATCGAATTGCTCCAATTCGGGTATAATCTCAAAGATGGAAGCATTCGGATCGGCATCGCTGGCCTGCATGGGCTGCGTCATGGTGAGCATGTAGCTCTCCTCGAACAGCTGCTGCTGCAGTTGTGCCTCTGCATCTTCCGCCTCGTTCAGTAGCTGGGCAAGTTCATCCACAGCTGTATCCGCTGCCGCTGGCTGAGCAGCAGTAGGCACAATTGGCGCCGGCTTCGGCTTGGTATCTGCCTTGGCTGCCGCCTCTGCCATGGCCGTTGTTTGACTCTCCTGGCCAAACTTATCGCTGAGCTTGCCGACGAGCACCTCGTGTCGCATGGCCTGCTGCAGCAGGAAGCGTGCGCTGCCCTGCGTCAAATACTGCTTCAGCTGATAGCAGGTGCGCGCATCTTGGCACAGTATCAACACCTTGGGCGGCTCCATGCGATCGGCACCACGACGACGTTGCATATCGCCGGGTATATCCTGGGTGAGCAGCTCGCTTAGCGCCTGCCATTTGGGACATGCCTCCGGTTCGAATTCTGCGCGTATAAATTGTAAATGTATGAAATTCGTTACCCCTCCTCCGCGCAGCGATTCACTCACCATTTTGTGCATTGTAAACTCGCTGCTTGGAGAGCATGAAAATCTGTTCGGCTGCGTCCAGCAGCGTCCAGCCGGAATTGCTGATGGCGTACTCCGTGCCGCGATAGCGTTTAATCAAAGCATAGGAGCTAACTGCATCATGATACATAGTGGATCTAGGTAGTAGAAATATGTTAGACAGTTACACCAGCTGATTGACTGATTGATTGACTGCATAATCCTATGATAAACTATACCCACATCATAAGACTGCGCAGAATCTTGAGATCGGCCACAATGAGTTTCGTTTGCGAGTTGAGCTGATGCCAAATGCAGTCCAGCTGCGCCTGGAGTATCTTGTGAAACTTTTTAGTCACACAATTCTCCACGGTGACCGCCTCCATGTCGACTGTGCGATTGATGCGTTTGATTTCGCGCACCAGAAAGTTCATAATATCCAAAATGTGCGTTTGTATGGAGCACATGCGTGTGCTGAGGGGCACATGCAGCTCAATAGTTTGCGCCTGCCATGGATGCAGTGCAGCACGGACGGTGGCATGAAATCTGGGCCAAATATACAATTGTTTCACAAATAGATTGCGCATAGTGCGCTCAATGTGCGCATAGCCAATGGTGAATGCCTCCGGGCTGCACGAAAAGGCCTTAATGAAGCCCGTCTTGTTCCGCTGCCGATATAAACGCAATGCGAACGCTTCCTGACAGCTCTCAATGATGGTGTGTGCGCGCAGCACAATGATGCCCGTTATTAGCTCAATGGGTATGCGCTGCTTGAGCAGATCGACCACAAGAATGCGCGTCGAGATAAACTGTAGACCGCCCTCCAGATAGACGCGTTCACTGCAATGACAAAGGCAGCGTTTAAGGATTGGAACTGTCGGCTCTGGGAAGGCACTGCGCTATCTACCGCTCTGTGGCTGTGTTGGCCACCTCGTGCACATATTTGGCATCCAGCTTGGACTTGTAGTACTGCTCCTCCCAGTCGGCGCAGTTTATGACCAGCAACAGATTGCCCGCATCGCTATAGACCTTTAATATATTTAGTAGCACGCGCTCGTAGCTGAGACCTCTGGAATTTGTTTGATTTGAGGGTTTTAGGGAGTTTGTGTCCAATTTGTCAGACGCCCGCTTACTTGGCAGACACCAGCAGCCCATCGGCGTGCACCAGATCCAGAAACATTTGTTTTTCATACTCAAGCAGCTGCACATCTTTGCGCATCAGATATTCCTCGGCTGTCACCAGATTGGCCAAATCCTCATCCGCCAAATTGTCACAGGACTCGGGCAATGCAGTTGTTGCAGGCGCAGCATCTGTTTCAGTTGCCGCCACATCTGCCTCCACTTCTGCTTCTTTTTCAATCGCTGCTTCTGCCTCTGAATCCGACATGGCGCAACAATTTCACAAGTAAACAAAACAAAAAGCCGGCATGTGCATATCGATAATGCCAATGCGTACGATATGCAACCGTGAGAGTTATCGATAAAATATTTAGCAGCCCACACACGCTACAATCGCTTGACGGCGCAACCGTGTGTCGCAGATTCTACACCAAAACATATATGTCTATGAGATGTTCAGATATGAGGAACTTTACTTTTTCAGATTTTGGCATATTCTAAACGTATTGATACTGGATGCAAGAACTTATCGCTTAGGGATCTTATTCCGTTTCAGTATGTTTCCCAAATTCAATAATCTGCATTTCAAATAAACTCAATAAAATAGCCTCTACAAAAATTGTTTCTATAATAAACAACAATAAGAATAATATATAGGTTTTTTGTTTTTCGTAAAACGCATGCCGATTCTAATATTTAGACTAACATGTGAGACAAAAAACGAATGTTCATTGAAATAATTAGGCAATTCTGTTGTACAACTAAAACTGTGTCGTGTTTTGTTTATGTTTCTAAGCTCCATCGATAGATTCGGTTTAAAATATCGATTTGTTGACAATTTAATTCAACCGGCCTAACGAGCACGTGCCAAGGCGCTCTACAAGATTCTGCTTAGTATTTTCTATAAATTCAAGCAATTCGTGTTGATTTAAGAAATTTTAAACTTTTTCTTTAAAAAAATTTTTCTAAACACTTCTCAATCAAAGAATGGCGGATGAGGTATCAGCGTATGCCGCCTACGGCAAAACGCTGCCGAAAAAGCAAGCACCAAAGAGGCAAGCAAAACGTTTGCCAAAGAAGACAACAAAGCAAACGCCCAAGACGCTAGCAAAGCGTTTGGCAAAGCGGACAGCAAAGCGTGCATCTGGGGATAAAGCAAATGGGCAAAATAACGGTGCTGCAGCCAAAAGGCAAAATGGCGTGCAAACGAAGCCGAAAGCTCAGAAACTGGGCACACCCGACAACGCCAGCGCCGACGCCAGACGCATTGACAGCATCAGCGACAGCATACCCTGCAACAGCGTGAATAGCAACAACAACATGCCGTCCAAGAAGAACAAAGGCAGGAAATCCAATGTATCCGATACAGAGCAAAGTGAGTCTCTCGACGATACAGTTAACTTGGCTAGAAAGATGGCCGACTATTTAAATGAGTGCGGCGAGCAAAATTGTGGCTCCGATGCCGACAGCAGCGGCGGCAGCTACGAAGAATACGACAGCAGCGACAACGATGACGATATGAGCGGCGAGAGCGGCAGTGCAAGTGAAAGCGAAAGCTGCAGCGAGGACTATGATAAAAGCAGCGACAGCGACAATGAGTGCGGCGATGGCGACAGCGACGGCGACAGCGACTGCGACAGCGAAGGCAGCAATGCCTGTGAGAGCGAAAGCGGCGATCAGTTTAGCGAGGAATACACGCTGAATAGCCACGCCGACAGCAGCATCAGCAGCAGCAACAACAACAGCAGCATCAGCAGCAGCAACAACAACAATAGCAGCGCCAGCTCTCCCGAGGCTTTCGTAATGCCTGCTGCAGGCAGACGCAAGGCAACCAAACGCAGCGAGCATTTGGCCAGCAATTCCGATGCCAGCGATTTTATTGACAGCAACAACAACAACAACAAAAACACGCCACCAGCTGCCAAGCAGCAGAAGCTTCAGGTGCAGCAAAGACTGAAACAAAAGCAACTGGAGAAACAGGAGAAACGCGTAAGCGCCGCTGCGCAGCGCGAAAATGCGGCGCCCTTCTGTCCGCTGCAGCGTACAGCAAAAACAACAACAACAACAGCTGCCAAATCGTGCCCGCTGCCCAGCAAGGAGGCGGCGGCCAAGCCGGGCCGCAAATCATGCCCGCTACCCAGCAAGCCAGCGCCGGCAGCAAACAAAATGGCGCCAAACAAAATGGCGGCCAAGCTGTGCGCGCTGCCGCCGAAGAACGAAAGGGCGGCACAACAACAACAGCAACAACAACAACAACAACAGGAGCCAAAAGGAAGACGCAGCGAAAGTCAGCTGCTGCTGGAGGGGCCACAGCGGCAGCAGGTGCATCTGCAGGACAGCATTGAGGAGGGCAAACGTATGCTGCACTGGCTGATAAATCCGATGACATCCGATGATTTCTTTAGCCAATACTGGGAGCGGAATGCCTGCCAGGTGAAACGCAAGCAACCAAATTATTTCTCACAGCTAATCTCGTTTAAGTTGATTGATGAAATGCTGATACGCAACCATCTGGAGTTCACCACCAACATCGATGTGACCACCTATAAAAATGGGATACGCGAGACCCTTAATCCGGACGGACGCGCCATGCCACCGACCGTGTGGGGCTTCTATAGCGATGGCTGCAGCATTCGCATTCTAAATCCGAGCACGTATTTGATTAAATTGCGCCAGCTGTGCGCCATGATGCAGGAGTTCTTCCATTGTCTGGTCGGCGCCAATGTGTATTTGACGCCACCGAATAGCCAGGGATTTGCGCCCCATTACGATGACATTGAGGCGTTTGTGCTGCAGGTGGAGGGACGTAAACGCTGGCGTTTATATTCACCGCTGCATCCGTCCGATGTCCTGGCACGCAACTCCTCCGGCAACTATAGCCAGGCAGAGCTGGGTGAACCGCTATTCGATGCCGTACTGGAGCCGGGCGATATACTCTATTTTCCGCGCGGCACTGTCCACCAGGCAGTCTGTGACCAGCAACAGCACTCGCTGCACATCACGCTCAGCGTCTATCAGCAGCAGGCGTATGCCAATCTGCTGGAGGAGCTAATGCCGGCCGTGCTGCAGCGTGCCATCAAGCATCATTTGAGCCTGCGTCGCGGCCTGCCGCTGCACACCTGGCAGCATCTGGGGCTGGCCAAGGGCGACCAGAAGAGCGAGCTGCGCGACAAGCTGCTGGCAAACACCAAGCGTCTGGTACAACAATATCTGATGCCCAGCGATGCCCAAATCGATGCTGCCGTCGATCAGCTGGCGAAACGTTTCCAGCACGAGGCCCTGCCGCCCGTTGTGCTGCCCGAGGAGCATGAGCGCACCGTCTTCGGTTCGCGCAGCCAGGCCAACTCGCATGGCCAGTGCCTCTGCGATTATGAGCTAACCGAACGGACTAGCGTCCGTTTGCTGCGCGCCAACATATTGCGCCTGGTCGCCGAGGGCAGCAGTCTGCGTGTCTACTACTATGTGGATAATGCTCTCGAGTTTTGCAAATATGAGGCCAACTTTATGGAGATTCAGCCAACCGAGGCGGCCGCCGTCGAGGCCCTGATGAGCGCCTATCCCAAATATCTGAAGGTTGCCAAATTGCCGCTGCGCAGCGCCGAGCGTCGCATCGAGGTGGCCACCGCGCTCTGGGAGCGCGGTCTCCTCATGACCGAGCAGCCATTCAAATAGCCCAAACATTTATCTATTAGCCCATTATCATATATCAATTGTTATTATTATTAGCACCTAGTAATTTAGCATATTTGTAATTTGTCCGCATCCCGAGCCCATTTTGGGCTGCGTGCACAAAGGGGTGCCTGCTCCAAAAAACCATAATCCAACAATTGTCATTAAAGATTCGCCTTAGTTTTGCTAGTCAACAACAATTGGACAATTTTTGATTGTAGCAAGCAGCGCGCCGAAGATTAGATACCCTACTTTTACCATAGCTTACGCTTCTGCGGATAAGCGAGAAGCACTAGGAAGATTTTCTAAATGGAGCACTATGAATAGATATATATATTGATATATGTATGTGTGTATAAAGGGAAAGAAAACAAAAAGTACATTGTCTGGGGCTGCGCGTTCACGTTTTACCTTAAGCGCTGCGAATTTTCTTCCGCTCGCGATACAGGCTCTCCTTTTGTACTGTAATTGAGGGGAATTGTAATTGTATAAGTGTGCCATATATTTGTGGGCCACTTACTGTATGGATCGAAGCGTATCACCTCCAGTTTGTCCGCGAGGCGCTCGCGAAACGCATTGAACTGATGGCCGCTGACCACGCTCTCGAGCACCACCATGATGCGCCTGTAAATGGACGGCTTTGTGTATTGAGTACGGCTAGTTTTTGGTTTATCTATAAGTCAATCACTCACTTGCTCTTTACTTTCTTGAACAGCACATTAGTGAGCCTCATTTTTGTTACAATTCAGTGAAATTATCAAATTACTTCAGAGAACACATGCAAATTGTTGTGCAAGCCGACAGAAAGAAAAAAACACTAAAAAATACCTCAAACAGCTGACAATGCATATATGTGTGCGTGGTATATCGATTGCGCTGCGTGCGGCAGTGTTGTAAAACAGTAGATAGTATGGTTAGTGCTGTTGGCAGACGACGCGCGCAATTCAAAACAAGCCGCTTTTACTAGGTTCGCTTCGGTTGGACCACAAGTATATCAGCTTGTTTGCTTCTTCGTTTTATATAAAGCTTGTCATCGTACATTTCATTTGACTTTAGCTGCTGATTTGATGTAAGTCATGTACATGTCAGCTGATGCTGCCAAGAAGTAAACGCGCACTTGTGTTATCGATTGCCCAGTGCTGTAAACGCGAGCAATTCAAAACGAGCTGCTGCTATTTAACTTAAAATATTCGTGTTTTTGTTTTTCGTTGAGTTTAAGCCGCCATTCAATCGGAGTTTAACACAAACTTTTGTGCAAGTCACGTACATGTCAGTGTAAGCGCCGCACAAAACAAAATTCCACAAGCAGCTGATGCTGAAGCTGCAAGGACATTAGCGAGCACATATGTTATCGATTGCAGTGCGTATGCCCAGTGCTGTAAACGCGCAAAGTTTAAAATGTTTTGCGCTTTCATTTGATTTACTTTTGCTCAGTTTGATGAAATGTTCTCTACTTTATACCTTGAACTAGCACTAAATCTAACTAAGCCCTCTGCAAATATGTAAGTCAAGTGCACCCACGTGTCCCTGAAGCCCTCACAAGGCAAGACCTAATCCACTTACGAATCAAATTAGCGTACATTTAAAGCAAAGCAAACAATGCGCGACCGCCACGTAACAGCGTCCAAATGTCCCGTGTCTGGGCCCGGTGATGCCGCCGGTGCCCCTGCCCTTGGTTGCGGCTGACTGGACAAAGTCAAGTCACACCGCTGCCAACCATCAGTAAGCGCATGACTAGACTTCCGCCGTCGACGTGGCCGCCAATGCTGCCGCTGCCGCTGCCGCCGCCTGAGCATCAAGAGGGGTATGCGTGTGTGTGTATATTTTGTGTTTCCTTTCCGTTTCCGTTTTGTTGGGCTGGTCGTTAAATAGCTTAAGCTGATACAAATTAAATTAAATGAATACATAGCAAGTTATGCCGCACCAGGGCGCTCATTGTCAGGGTCAAAGCGAGAGGAGGACGAAACACGAGCGCACTTCGGTTCGGCTGCACGCACACATAACCTCAAACAATGACGCCAATTGGCACAAAAGCTTAAATGTGTAATCCGGCCGACAATGACTGTGACTCGACTGTAACGGTATTGTTGCCGCTGATGGCTGGCTGCGCTGTTGTTGGTGGTGATGGTGGTGGTGGTGGTTGTTGTTGTTGTGGGGGTGATGCTGTTCTTGGACCTATTACCATATGAAGGTAAGGTCAACAGCATCGGCAGCAACAAGAGCTGAATAAACGACAATTAACGCAACCATTGACGCATACAAACATATTTTATATATATGTATGTATGTAGTGTATAAATGTGCATAATAGTTAAAATAATCAGATTGCGTGTTTAGGCAGCAGCTGTAAGAGCGGTAATTTGCCGTTATGCGCTGTTGTTGCTCACGTGCTAACCCACGTTGCCCAACACTAATGCCAAAAAGCACGTGCAGCATCTCGCTCGCACCTGTGCGCAAGCCTTGCTGCCTTGAATGCAGCCGAGCTTTTCCTAGCGCCAGCTTTGAAAACCAAACAAAAACATGAGCGAGCATAACACACACACACATACACGACACACACACACACAGACACGGAAGCTAACGCGCGGCTTTGTCACAATGCAGCCCATAAAAGTAGACTAACAATATTGCGTGTATGCTATATCATATATAAATTCATGTGCCCAAACAGGATAACATGCGTAGCTTATTGATATAAGAGAAATATGATATACAAAAATTGTATATATGTTCAGCTTAGGCCGCCATATGTTGAATTTGTGAGCGTGCACTATTTAGCTGGACACGACTGTTGGTCGCAAACAGCAAGCACAACACACAAAATGTTCAGCTGCTGTTGTCGTCGCACTTGTAGAGCTTTTTACGCGGATAGGGCTGAAGCTGAAGCTAAAGCTCTCCACGGCTGACGGCAACGTCATCGTGTAAATAAACGCAAATTCAGTTCATCAACGACACTCGTGCGAGGCGGATGCGAAGCGCGCGCAATACTCTGCCTAGTGCGATAAACAAAAGTAGACAGGAGAAGTAAGAAAAAGTTGCCTATCTCAAATGTGAAGGCGAGCCCAAAAAAGCAGGCATAGAACACAACAGCAGCGGCAATAACAACAACAATAGCTTAACTTAAAGCACGCGCATTTCTGCTGCCTCCTGCAGCAGCAGCAACAATAAGAACAACAACAACAAACAAACAATAATAGTTCTTGCTATTCTTCTTGTTGTTGCCAAGTCCAAATCAAAAAGTAAAAAAAAAAACAATAAACAATAACAGAACATTTTTGTTATTTTTTTTTGCGTGTAAATAAAAAGCGTAAGGCAACTTTTTCTTACTATTTCTGATGTTTTTTTTTTGTTGTTGCCAATTTTTTCATGTGTTAACAGCAATTTGATTAAACAACAACAAAATGCTAGCCGTATAAATGAATGTGCAGAGCCCAACAAAAGTCAAAAATAATACAACAAAATATATATAAACAACAAATCACAGACAGAATTTTGTATTTGTAGACGCCGCCTTAGCGGCAGTGCAGCAGACGCCAGCGTCAGCGTCAGCGTCGACGGCGGTAAGCATTCAAACCAAATGAAAAAATAATAATAAAAAAAAAAAACAAAAAAAAAACAGTTGAATTGCATACAATTCTAGCTTCAACGCGCTCTCTTTTGCGCTGTTCCTATCTTTGGCCGCTGGCTGCCCGTTATGTGTGTGTGTGTGTGTGTGTCTGTGTTTGTGTTAAGTCTCGCTGTTATTTGCTTGTGTGTGTGTGTGAATGCGGCGATTCATGTTTTTGCAGCGCGCTTTTAGGCGCGTCCTCGGCAAACGCAACTCAAATGCAGCCGAAAAAAAAGCGCGCCACAAAAACAACTAATTAAAATGTCCGCAATTGTCAGACGCACGCAGCATACCTAACCCTGGCCCTTGCAACCCCACCCCCCCTAAACTCCGCAATATTCTCTACCATTTATGCACATTGCCATTCTCATCCTCTCGACAGCGTCCTTGGCCATGCGCCCACGCAATTGCATTTACAGTTTTACAGTCGACGTCGACGTCGCCGTTGCCGTCGGCGTCGCAGTCGTTGTCAGCGTTTTATTTGCAATCAATTTTTGTTGTTACTTTTACGTAGAATTTATAATTTCTGGGTGTACATATTTCTATTATCACAGCATATATTAATTTACCCATAAACTCCATTTTACATACCCTTTACCCAGTTTAAAATAATGGGTATATCCATTCAGACAGGCGACGCCTTCATGTATGTATTCTGCCTGTTCTTATTCTTATTATTCTTATTCTGGTTATTCATCATTTAGCTTAAGCTAGTTTTAGTTGATTTCTTAGTTCCTTACATAACCCCAAATTGATATCAATATTCAAATCGCAGATCAAGTTATGTATGCATTATCTATCCCTTCATTTCCTCGAAAAACATCTGTATATGTATTTCCAATTTTTAGGCATAGAATACCAAAAATTAAATGCAAGTTCATTAATTTGCTTAGAAAACTCCATATATTGTATAAAATCAAAAAGTTTGGGCTCATTTATCTCCGTATTCTCTGCAAAATTTGGCATTTCGGTTACTTTTTCAAGAATATTTCAGTTGTTAAATAAACCTGGTTTCCGGGCGTTTATGGTTTTTAGATAAAGATTCAAAAGTAGTTTTAAATTTATTCAGGAATGAGCATTGCAAAGTGGGTTAAGAAGATATACAAAAACTAGCAGAAAAGAAGCCCAGGTTATTCACGTTTCGTTATTTTGTATACTTCTATTTTTAGGCATGCACTACTTACAGTTAATTCTAGGGTGTTTGCCAGTCGAGCTACTTCGTTTAGAGCACGTCTCTTTGCCTTATGCAAGCATCAATACCGTTATATTCAAAGCCCGTCTTTATATACTTTACAGATTCGAGAAGCAACATGTTTGCGGAACGTGATGAAAATGAACGGCTTTTGTTTCTTTTCGAATGGTCGAGAAATTTTCATATTAAATGGTCTTTTCTTTCCCTTGTTCCGGAATTCGCGGAACTAGCTTGTTTTTCAAATATGTATTTAAAATTTCAGCTATTCTTTTAATTCCTTTAAGGTAGAAAATGCAGTTAAATACATATTTGTAATACCAAGAAACTTGCCCAAGGGTTTCCAGAGCGTGTTGAATTTCAAGGCGAAAGACTATGAGACCTGTCGACTCTAGGGTTTCCATTGTAAACATTAATGAGAAAATTGAGAAGCGAAACTCAAATGAAAATACGTGGAATGCATTTGATAAGGTACAAGCAGTTAGAAGTAAAATAGAAATTGAACAAAAAATAAAAGTCCATTACGTAGAAATCGCTGAAACAAGAGTCGAAATAATTAGAAACCTATGTCCACGTAACATTACGGGTATTATGTTTATGATTTTCAAGACAAAGTCAGCTGATGTTCCGAGTCAAGTGTTTTTTCTTCTTCTTAACATTCAGCATGGCATTTGCGAATTCCATGAAATAGCTATCCAATTATTTGTTTGAGCTTGTGGCAATCTCTAGTATTTGGTCGATAGTACGAAAATATGCCATATGCCTTTTCTTGGTCATTTTCCACACAGATACAGCGAATTTCTACGAAGAAAATAACTCAAATAATCTCTTTCCGCTCGTTTTCCGCAGGCGCTGGTGGAATTTTGAAATAGGTGAAATACACACATATCCCAATTACCACCCGAAAAGGGTGCATTGGCGCAAGGTTTGAAACAGCTTTTAAATTTATTTTTACCTAGATTTATGGGGATAAAACTGTTTTCACGGTATTTCCACACCTGCGAGTGGAATTATCGCAGCATTTTACAGTTAGCTATGTGCTTTAACAGGGCTGCTGCAGAGCAATAACACTTGCTGCATTTTACAGTTAGTTGTGTGCTTTAACAGAGCAATAACAGTTGCTGTCAATTTGTACATATTTCACGTACACAAATATAACGGTTATATCAATCAAATCAGGATTCGCACATTTTAATTGCATTCTGTTGTTTGTCAAGCACAAAAGCTCAGCAAGATCAGCCGCATCCTGACTGCGCTGCTCAAGCTGTGGCTCAAGCAATAAGCAGCCAAACAGCAGCGACGTCGACGTCGACGCCGACAGCGACTGCTACTGCGACGCTGACTGGCAGGTGAAACGCGTAAATAAACAAATGTGTCGGCAGGAAAGCTGCGGCTGCGGCTGCGACTGAAGCAGAGGCGTGTGGGTGGGTGGCAGAGGGTAGCGGGCGCGCGGGTAGCGGGCACACAAGCTACATAAGTAAATGAATAAATAATGTAAACAAAATATTAAATTAGAAGAAAATTTACTTACGCGCAAAGCCGACGCAAACACAATAGAATGGAACGAAGTGTGAGAGGTGCGAGAAGGCTGGCACAAAGGCACATACATAAGCAAATTGTGCAAAGGCCCATTAAAAATAAGCCAAAAAAAAAAATAAATGAAAAAAAAGAATTACACGCACTCTCCATCTCTCTCGGTGCTCTCCCTGATAACGGTGCTCTGGATCGGCCGCTGCAGCATAGTACAGTTTGAGCAGCACAGGGCGTCAATGCAGCCACTTGTTTCTTTTTGTTTTTTTTTCTTTTGCCGCCTTTAGCAATGTTCGCATTTTTGAAGACAAATGGCGAACAGAAGCAAAAAGCATATTGTTGGTTGATCTTGCAATACCCTAGCAAATGCAAAGGCAATGGATATATTGTTAAATATGCAAAAACCTATCTCTGATATAAAAGCATAATTATTTATTTGCAAGCATGCTGATTAAAAGTTATTTAAATCTATTTCAAAGCTTAAAGCTCTTTGAATAGGCATGCTTAAATATGTGCATTGATTGCAGGGTATTTGCGCAGCGGTCAATCCGCTGTGCTCTTTTATTTGTTTGTTTTCCTGGCTGCTTGATGTGAAGATTGTGCAATAAAGCAACAATAACAAACAATTGTTGCTGTTACAGCGGCCGCATACTCATTGCACACATACACACATATCAAGATAGAGATATGAATACGTTGAATAGTGTGAGAGAGCGCAATTATACTCTCTCGCTCTCTCGATCGACACCCACGCACACGCTCTTTGCTACTCTCTCAACTCTCAACACACACACACACAACTCTTTTACACTTTCGTCTTCGTTGTGCTTTGATAAACCAATTGGGTCGTCGGCGGCGGCAGCGGCGGCGGCGGCGACAGTGATGGGAGCAGCGACTGCAAGGCGTGCGTATCCATTGTTGCGCTCTCAGCCGGTCAGTTGTTTGGCTGAGCTTTTCCCGTTAGCCCGCTCGCATTCGCACTCGCAATCGCGCGCACATTGCCTATTAAACACAACACAACTAAAAAGCAAAAAAAAAAAACATACAGAGGCCGCGTCACGGCGACGACGGCAACGTGTTCCAGTTTCGATTGTTTGGCAGGGCAAAATTAAGAAGCTTCAAATACGGTTAATTGTTATACCTAAACCTGCTAAACACATGCATACATACATATAGACATATAGCAAGTTTACGCGAAGCTGTGCAAAATGTTGTTGAGTTGATCTTCAAATGTTGTTGTTGTTTACGTGCTTTTCTTTTCTTTTTTTGTTGTTGTTTTGCTCTAGTGTGTGCGTGTGCTTGTCTCTGTTAGACAAAAATGCAACAAATTCGCAAGGCATAGCAATTACAAAAACAACAAGCAGGTGGCAATTGCAAACCAGAGAGCGTGAGCGTGAGCGACCGAGAGAGAGAGAGAGAGAGAACGAACGAACGCGCGCCATTGCGAGCGCCTCGCAGGTAAGTGTGAGTGTGTGTGGTTTTCGAGCACAGTGCTGTTCAAACTGTAAACAACTATTTTACCTAAATTGAGTTTCGGTTTTGCGAGCACTTTGGCCGACTATGTACATATGTATGTATGTATATGCTTTTTCATAACTGTTACAAACGGTTAAAACAGCATTGTGTCATACCCTAACCAAATTGGAGAATATTAATTTATAATTCACTCAAACGTATGATTTTAATATTAAAAAAAGAAAAGAAGAACGAGAAAGAAGAACTACCAGCGGCACGCCGAACATTTAATACCCTTGCAGACAAAACCTTTTGCTTATAATTAGTGACGTATGGCATATCATTTTAAGGAAGTAAGAGTGAGCTAGTCGGGAGTGCCCGACTAGGTGATACCCTGTACCCTCCAACAGGAGGGTCTTAATGGTAGGATACTTCATCTCTATAGACTATTTTCTAGGGCAAAAAGATTTTGTGCTTAGATATGCACAAAACCAATATACCCTTTTTATCAATTTTCCATTTGTACAGGGTACAAAAATGTCTCAATAACGCTTATTAGCATTTCGCCCATACTTTTCTTACTTCACAATCCATTCAAAAGAAAAACGAACAATTATAAAAAAAAATTGTCATATATTCATTTATCCATATTTTAAAAAAATAATGGGTATGTAAGACTCAAGAGACCCCATCGAACTCAGTAACTAGACGAGCTGCAGATCGTTAATTTGGTGTGCAACTAGTCGAATATACGTATATTCAGGCATATTGTCGATAGATAATTGCCATGATATTATTAATAATAATCTAGAATTATAAAATGCAACCGACAATTAAAATATTCTCCATAGCAACATTTATAACTTACAAGCGCAAAAAGTTTTCGACTCGACAATACAAATAGTCGACAGGTGTTTGCTGATAGTTTTATGTGCCTCTGGCATACACAAACACACACACACACACACACACACACACACACACACACACACACACACACACACACACACACACACACACACGCATACACCTGAAGTTATAAGCACGCGGCATATTGAATTACATTGCAAACTATTTTGTTTAATTAAAGTCGCGCTGCGGTTTGCACCTTTCACATATCATGCTTGTTGTTGTTGTTGTTGTTTTTTGTTTGTTTGTTTTTGTTGCCTGGCATTAGACTGATGAGAATATTTTCCACCATTTCCATTTCAATTTCGATTCGCATTTCCATTTCCATTTGCGCATTCAGCTCAATTCACCGAACGAGCTGTGCAAATGTCAGAAGCTGTTTGTCTTTGTGGTCACCAGCTGGAGGCAACATACCCAACCCCACCCCTCCCCTCCCCCCTACCACCCTCTTCTGCCCACCTTGCTGTCAACAACTATACTGACAATTATTGTATTATGCGCTAATTGAGTTAATAATTAATGTGTGCCAGCCAGACTGGCACGACTAGGCAATACCCTGTATGCAGCCGTCAATATTTTCGACACTTTTTCAAAGTTATTCCTTCATCATTTTTGAGTAAATATTGAAGCCCTTATATGAATTTGAGGTCTTAAAGGTGGGCAGTGTGTACATACTAAAAATGAGGCTATATTTTAAAAGGGATTCTGATTTAATGAAGCAGAAGGTTTAAGGATACCCTCTAAATATCTTGATATAGCGAGTATGAGATTATTTCGTTAACGATAAAGAATATATATTGAAGTTATATTGATTTTGAGATTTGTACAACATCAAAATACTCTTTCTTTTTATCATCTGCAAAGCATATACCCTAGACGAACACAGTTCGATTTATTGGACCTTATTAATAGAAAATTGGTTTTTGATTTTCTTGTCAATATGTTTATTATAAATTTGTTGTTTTTTTTTTGTTTTTTTGTTGGATCTATATTCTATTTGGGGGACGAGGGTACTTTGGAATCGTAAGTATACACATAGATAAGAAATACATCCAGATGACAATTTGGTTCACTTTATCTGACAACAATTTTGGTTGGATCTAGTGATAAACTTACGAGAAAAAAATTGAAACGAATGAGATAAGAAGTTCAAACTGAAATTACAACGTTCACCAATCCATATATATATATGTATATATTATATATATATACATATGCTATACATACATATATATATATAGAGATATTGCCCGATGGCAAAGCCTGCTTCATTCCCAACTCATGTTCGATATAACTGATAAATATGTATATACCCTCCATATATAAATATCTCTATATATATATGCATACATATATATATATATATCCTCAATACAAGGCGCCTATCAATAACATAACTGTCAAATATATGCCCACCGATGTAACTGGCAGCGTTGGCATCGATAACGGACTGTTCAGTATATAGTCCAGAAATCGGGCAACTATCTCGTATGCAATGCACTTGAAGTTCGGCCATGATGCTCGCAACAGCCGCCAGCGACGCGTGTTTATAAAGCATATCACATAGCGAACCATTCCGATCTTTCGTTCCATTTTGCCGATCTCCTGCAGTATGGCATCGCCGTTGTTCTCTTTCAGTAGCTCGTTGTGTTTGCTGTGCGAGAGGGAAGAGAAAAGAAAAGAGAAAGAGCAAATTTAAGTTATATAGCAAAGAGCTTCTGACATGCACCCGTTCTAAAAGCAGAGTTTCCCTTGTTTTGATGAAGGCATATTTTAGTGTTATAGAAGAGAGTGAAAAGTGTAAGTTATATAGCAAAGAGCCTTTGTCATGAAACGATTACAGAAGAAGAGTTTCCCTTGTTTTGATGAAGATATATTGAATGTTATAGAAGAGAGTGAAAAGTGTAAGTTATATAGCAAATAGCCTTTCTCATGAAACGATTACAGAAGAAGAGTTTCCCTTGTTTTGATGAAGATATATTGAATGTTATAGAAGAGAGTGAAAAGTGTAAGTTATATAGCAAAAAGCTTCTGTCATGCGGTAAGAGATGTAAGAGGGGTTTGACACATATCGATTATAGATTTAAGGGAGTTCAAGAAGAGTTTCTCTTGTATTGATGACGGAATCGCAATATACTTACAGTTCTAATTCTGCTAGCTCCTCTTCATAGCCCTTGAGGGTCTCGTATGCCTCATCTATTTGCTCCTGCTTTAAATGCACAGCCACGACAATATCGTCATGCTGCGACTGAAAGCGATCCTTAAGTGTTAATAGCTTTGGATATTGAGATAAGTATATTATGCGAAGTGCTTTTGTTTTAGTTGCAACCAACAACACTTACCTCATCCTCCAGTTCGGCGTTGCGTATCTCTAGAATGCGATTCTGTCGCTGTTGCTCAGCCAATTCTTGGGCACATTGCCGGAACTTGGTTAGCTCGCGAAACATTTCAGTTTTCGTTACGTTGAGCAACTCGGCAAAATTGCTGCATTCCTGGGTCTTTGCTCGCAGATCCCGTCGCAATTTCGCCTCCTTTCTGCGCACCACATTCAGCGCGTTCTCAATTGTGACACATCCCTGAGAGCTCAGCTCTGCCGCATATTTAACCTGGCGCAGTTCCATTTCCAGCCGATCGCAACGTCGTTGCTCCTTGCATATCATCTTGTTGCGCAAAAACAGATCGTCTCGCATTGTGCTTGCCTGGGGAATCGGGATGGATTTTTGTGCTTCAGTGAGGTATCGATAACTATCGAGCTAGGCATAAGCTAAGTTAGTGTCTTGACTAACTTGACTTGCTTGTGCATCTACGAGCATGTTTAAGATGGTTTTGGGGCCTAACATTCGTGATGTTTGAGATATGAGCAAAAAAAAGTATTGTTTGGCTATCGATATTTATCGATCTTTGTTAAATGAGGCGAATTTTTACGGAAATCATATTAACTTTCGCTTGTGCGGTTATAAAATCACTTCTACTATACATTTTGTGACTCAAGCACTGCGAAATATGCTCAAAAACTTCTATCGATATTTATCGATTGCACAGATTTGAAATTAGATAAATATAGTCTACATTTTTACATCGATAACTGCACCCTTTTCTCCATAATAACCATCTAAAATTGAATCCTAACGCACAGCTGGAACATTTTAGGTGCTGGATAGACCTAGCTTAGCTACAGCCGAGAAATAGAATAACAATGACAGCAGCTGGATGTTAAAGTTAAGGTATCTGCTAGTCGGATACTCGTATGTCTCAAACTCTTACCTTACTTTGATATTTGCGAACTAGTTCATGCAAATCGCAGACCTCGGCGCAACGTCGTCGCCAGAGACGGGCGAGCATCACATTGAAGACTTTGATGGCTCTCATGCGGCTGGGCATGTCCATTGTGTGACCCACTATGCCGCTGGCAGAGAGGGAATCCGGAATGCGTTGTGGTGTTGGTGTCGCTGGGCGTGGATAGGCATATTTTGCTTTGTGGGGTCGCATCATTCTCTCAAACGTGGAGCTGAGCTCCTCGATGTCCTGGTTAAGTGACTGCTCCATGCCGTTCCAGTTCTGGTTGTGGTTATGGGTGTGGGTGAGGGTGTAACTGTGGTTGTGGCTGTGGCTGTGGCTGTGGGTGTGCGTATGCCCGACGATATGCCGCTGCGGTATATCCCTTATAATGTTAGGAGATGACATGACCTTGCCTAAAGCAGGGCAGGCAGGCCGAAGCCATGGAATAGACAAGTCTACAACAAGTCTATCGAACTGGCGTTCACTTACCGTTGGCAGCTGCTTTTCAATTCTGATTCTGATGGCCAAAAGTACAGATATTGTTTTGATTTTAGTATACTTATGTGTTTGTTTGTGTTCATTCCAAAGTGGCAAATTTGACCTGTATCAGGCCCGAATACTCAATATACAACACACAAGCACACACGCTCGCACACACATCTGTCACTGAATCGAATTCCACGGCACATTTGATCTCAATTCAAATTTTGAAGATTAGATGAAAGCCAAAAATATTTATCATATTGTTACAAACTGAATCGAAAGCCAAAGCACATTTGCTTTCAATGAAACTTTGATGAAGTCTACTTAAATTAAGCACGGACAAATGTCAACATTAAATCTCATTCCATTCCAAATTAAAAGCAGCAAAACCTCCAGAGATAATTGAAAGTTGTAAACGGGTTTCACCTATTTTCCACGATGGCATTTGAATTTTCACCGAAATACCATCTACGATTCGTTTTGATCTGTGCCTTGACCAACAATCAAGCTATCAATCAATCAGAACACAGATTATAGATTAAAGATATAGAAATGGATATGATAGAAGATTTAAATATAAAGCTCATTAAGATCTAAGAGAAACTTACAGTTGGGCTGAGCTTAAATAAAAAATTCACAGATAATGATAGATAGATAGATAAAGAGATAGATAGATAGATAGATAGATAAAGAGATAGATAGATAGATAGATAGAACAAAGCTTTTATCACGCCTGCTATTTAAACCAATTTAGGGCAGGAAAAGGAATATAAATTCATCTATATGTAAAAATATACAGCAAATATATACAGAAAATATGAAATGAGAAATTACATTATTGACTTATTGACACTGTTGTTGTTGTTGTTGGTTGTTGTTGTTGTTGGTTGTTGTTGTTGTTGTTGTTGTTGGTAGTTGCCGCACGCCATTTTGACAGTTTGAGCGCTCTGCAAACATGGCATTGGGTCAGTGGAGCGGGGAGTGGGGCAACGTTGCGGGGGCTGGCGTTGACAGGCATCAAACATAGTTGCTGATAAAGCCTTGGCCGGAAGTACAGACGGTTCGGGTGGTGGGTATGTGTGTGGGGGGGAGGTGGTGGGCTGGTGGGGTGGAGGGATTGGTTGAATGGCGGCAGATGGGTTGGCGCCTGGCCGGCAATTACCTGCAATAAGTATAAATGAAAGAAAAACAGGAAAAACTTATCTAATGAGGCATGCGCGACTATAAGCTACCCTGGCGATGCAAGCTTTCCACTTTTAGGCAACAGCTGTGCTTCCTCTTTCCTCTGCTGCTCAATATTGGAATAATTATTGTTTAAAAACTATGCTATAAAATTTAAAGGCCAACATGAGCGCGAATGCCAGAAATTAAAATGTTGTTTTTGAAATTTACAAGAAGTGCTTAATTATCGGCTTTTAGCGATTTATGGGAAATGAGCCAATTTATCGATTTGTTTATTCCTACAACTTGAATCGATATTTATCGATATTTATGAAAATGACAGAAATGTCGATAGCATGAAATAAACACGAACTAGTTCTTTGAACTATCGTTTGATCATTGATTGTATATAATGTATGCTCGGTGGAGTTGACCAATCGATATTTATCGATATTTATGAAAATGGCAAAAGTGTCGATAGCATGAAATAAACACTATAAGTTATATGCTTAAAGAGCGATGTCGAATTTGCACGTAAGCTGCAGAAACTATCGTTCTTATATGGACAAGGATGGCCCGACTGATAATCGACTTGCGACTCACAGCTTGATTAGGGTAGTTCAAGGTTCTCTGTTCGCAATGTCACCGAAAATGTTGGCCAAAATTTCAGCTAATTGCCAGAAAACAACAAAACAAATTGCCAGACTGATAAACTGGTAGATTGATAAGCCGATAAATGGAGCAAAGTGTCTTGTTGCTAAGATTGGCGCACATAATTAATTAAAATATCATTAGGCAAAGGAAATGCGAAAGTCCTGGCAATACGCACTTAACCAACGCTCAGCCCATAAAACTGGGCTAAATAGTTGCCGGCAACGACTACAGCAACAGGATGCCAAAACGAGAGGGTATATCTAGGTCGGGCGGCTGCCAAAGAGGTGAAGAATTGGAAAGCCGAAAGCTGAGTCTAAGCCAAGTCGCATATAGACAGCTGGCCAAAACTAATTATGCGCCTCGGCGCCACTGGAATCTTTAGCATATGAAAGCAGTTGTGAAATTGCCACGACCAAACCAACCACCCATCCCCACCCCCTCCCGGCTATTTCCCCAACCAAAACTTAACCCACTCAGCCCATGCAAAGGCCATAGAATTTGTCGCCCTTGCCACGCGCTGGCCTATTCACTTTTCAACATTGATTAAAAGTTTTAGCAAGTCAATCGGAGCCAGGTCCATGTCCATGTCCTGGTCCATGTCCTGGCCGTTGTAGACTGTAGAAAGTTGAGCGAATCGCTACGCGTGACAGCTCAAAATGCAATTTGCAGCGTTTCCACCGTGCAAAGTTAACGTGGCTTATTTAAATTTATAAACAAGTCGCAAATATTCATGAAAACCAGCTTCATGCCCGGCCTTAAGTTGAGTTGCAGAATTGAAGAAAATGATGTGACACTAACATTTTCACCTTGATTTCGCCTAGGGAAAGTATGGATTTTATTAGAAAAGTTCAACTTGAAAAGTTTCTTCAGAGCGCATTTTCATTTCAGACAGGGCCCAAGCTACGCAAATAGTTTATAATTTAAGGGATGCTTTACTTTAACAAATATCTAGATTTTAATGTTGATCGAATTTCGATTGACTTGAATTTAAAATAGAGAAACATTCCTAATTATTGCAGGACAACTATTATCTATTTCGTTTTCGGCTGGCCAATGGGCACCTTCTTGTACCACCGGGTGTCTATAAAAATGAATAAGCAATACTTTAATTATTAATATACATTATGTATATAAAAAATATGTAGGAGTTTCCATATACTATATATACTTAAACTAAGTATGGATTCCGGATTGTCCTTAAGAGTCTCAGGAACATCTCACAGCAAGCTTTTGTTTGCTACCAAATTTGCCAAAAATCGGCTCGGCTGGCAACGCTTAAATGTTTTTTGTCCCAGCACACCCCCCATTTGCGACCCCGCCCCCATTTGGCCCCACCCCGCACTCAACCTAGACATTAGGCATGGTAAAGGTGGGCGGCCTTAATCCCCTAACCGGTGCGTGGAGCATTATAAAAATGTTCACTTACATTTTTGCTGCTGCATTTTCTTGGCATAAGGCTAAGCCGCGTTCCCGACCCCCGACCCCCGCTCTCCCCTCTCCACCTTCGGGACACCACTGTCGGCAAATTATGTGTCTTCTTTTGTCTTCCTGCTGCTGTATTTTATAGCCTGTACCCATTGTGAATGGTTAAAAACAAAAGAAGGGTCTACCTGTTTTGTGCATATTTATGTAAGAGACAGACGCAAGCATCTTCACGCCCGTAAAGTATATGTTCTCGATCAGGATGACGAGCCGAGTTCAACTAGCTATATCCGTCTGTCTGGACTTAAAAGATAGAAACGATTTGGTATAATATGCTGATTAGGTATATCTGACTTTTTCGCTGTCTGTCTGTCATTTCCATAAAATCGATAAAATCGAAAAATCGATAAAAAACGATAAATTGATAAAAAATCTATAAAAATCGATAAATCGATAAAAATCGTTAAATCGATTTTCTAGCCACGTTTTATAGAGCCAGAGATCCCGAGCTAAGTTTATAAATTATTCTATAGTATACACAGATTAGAAATATTTCTCTTCGGGTTCTTTATAAAATGGAATTTTGTTGTCTCTTCCGTTTTGTGTTGAGCATGAGGGTATCTCAAAGTCGGTCAGTTCTCAAAAAAAGGCTCTTTTCTTGTTTTTATTGTTTTGTTTCCTTTTTGTTTTCGACATTTTGCTGCTCATTTGCTGGCGGTTTATTTGCATAGCCGTTCGCCGCGTGCTTTGGCTCAGCCTCAGCTCCGGCTCCGGCTCCGGCATCGGATCCGGCTCCGGCTCAGCTCCAGCTCAGCAGCGGCTCAGCTCACCTGGCTGGCTGGGTCCCTGGTTGCCAGTCTGTTTACCTGGCCCAGCAGCTGGCTGGGCTGTGTTTTATTTGATTTGCATTTGTTTATAAATGATTAACAAAGAGGTTAATGTGGCCCACAGCGGGCGAGGGATAAACAGCGAAATGGGAGCTGCCAACTGAGCCAGCTCAGCACCTCCCCCCCCACCCCCACGGCCCTACCAGATCTGGCAGCACAGCGGCACAGAAGCAGCTCAACCAGAAAACGTAAAAGCAACCAAAGCGCAACACACGGCGAGAGCGAAAGAGACAGCCTGTGGGTGTGAGCGAGCAAGGCAATGGAAATTTAGTTCATTAGGCAGAGCTATGGGGCAATTTCTTAATGTGTGTGTATGTGTGTGTGTGTGTGTGTGTGTGTGTGTGCGAGAGTGTGTTTGTGTGTCGCTGCCTCTGTAAAAACTGGCAACATTTGGAGTGCAGCAACAGCAACCCGGCAACGCTGGCGACCTTCACACACACTCAAATACATACACGCGCACACACACACACACACACACACACGCCCACGAAGGCGTCTTCTGTTGCCTGCACCAAGCCATCTCCTTGTTTTTCATGCCTCTCGGCATTCACAATATATATATGTATATATATATATATATATATATCTATATGTATATATACATAAAAATCATAAAAACGAAGAAAAACATATATATATATGTATATAACATTGCTTGATTTGCCAAATTAAGGCCAACATCAGCAAACAGCTACAGCAACAATCGTGCAGAGTGAAAAGTTCAGGGAACTCTTGGCTTGCACGCACACACACAAACACATATATATATATCTCTGATATATACTTTAAATATATAACGTATACATATACATAATTATGTCCAGGCTCTGTAAATGAATCGAATCTGTAGCAAATCTCAGATTTCGGCCGAAGCAAGTTGAGCTGAATACCCGAGGGAAAGTTCCATTTGAAAGTTTTCATTTGTAAACTTTACAAATTATAATATGTGAAGAATAATTAATATAATATAATAAATATTGCTGTAAATTAATATATATATTAAAACAAAATTGTTTTAATTTAGTATGTTAACAAATTAAACCCCGTTCCTCAAGTAATATAATAATATTTATGACAATTTACCAAAACATATAATATTATTATTAATCATTATATTTGTGATTGATATTGAATAATTATGTCTTCATATATTGATTTTCCGTTATATTCGTTATATATTATATAATTTTTATATTATTTATATACTCATCGATTAATATAGTCAAAGGCCCTGCAGATATAATTATATTAATATGATTATATTATATTAATAGCATTTAAATTGATTACAACCAATTTTTTATTCTTTACAGATTTTAACGTATTTCTCAAACTCAACAAAAAGTTGCCGTAAGTTAAAAAAAAAAAATTTGAGTTTATTTTACTTACTTTCATTGCCTTGCAAGTTGACAAGCACCGTAACATGGCAGCCAAACTGCCTGTCAAAATTTGCCAGCAGCTTTAATAATTTGTTTTTTAATTTATTTGACATTTGCATTGTTTTGGCTGCATTTGTCAGCTCTGAACAGTGTTTGTAAATAGCGAACAGATGGCATAACAGTGTTGAACAGCACTGCCCATTTGTTTTTCTTAATGTTGCCAACATATTTAGGTAGCGTCGTCATATTTTAAAATTGTTTGTTAGTTTGAACACCTTTTATACCGTGTACATATGTAATGTGCACAAAGGGGTGTAAATAACTTTAGTTTATCCAACAAAATGCTATTGAAAAATTATATTTGCATCTATAAAAGCAAAACTGCAAGTATATATAAAAGAGTTTATAAGTTTATTGTCTTTCCAAACCTTTGAACTGGGAAACTTGATGGCATATAGTCCGCAACTACTTAGCATCTGGGTTTAATCAAGGGTCAATATGAGTACTTCGCTCAGTTGAATTAAAATTGAAATTCGTAGTTTTGGAATTCCAGCCATAATTCTGTAAGACCTCAATACTCTCTGACTTCTGCTAGTAACATCTTAGACATTTTATGCTATGCTAAGTATATGCTTTACTCTAATTGAAATATCTGATTACATTACAATTTTCTCACATTTTCTGGCTCCGTTCTTATACATTGAATCTATTAAAAATTAGTGGGTAACTAGCAAAAGACATCTGACACCATAAAGTATATATATTCTCGATCAGGACGACAAGCTGAGTGGATCAAGACATGTCCGTCTGTTAGTCTGTCTATCTGCATGAACGCATCGGTCTTAGGGCCTATAAGCGATAGAGACTTGAATTTTGAAGTATATATATTTTTGTGCATCGTCCGCAAAACGAATTTGCCTTTTGATGTTCTTACGAGTTCTTCTTCCAGTTTCATAGTTTCAGACATGGCTTGCTTTTTTTTTTAAACATATCTCGAGGATTATTAGACTGACAGACTGTGCCTATATGTGTCTTAAGAGTACAGCCTTTGGTATAAACACACTTTAGTATGTCATATTTTGGTCCCGAAAATGACATAAAGATCGGACTACAACAAGCCGAGTTACTCAGGAACGTAGCTCCCATAGTATGAGACTGAGCGAAGAAGAAGTACAGCCGCAGCAAGCGGCGTGCATGTGTGCATGTGTGTGTGCGTGTGTATGTGTGTGTAGACATGTATATATAGCAGGAATCTAGAGTGCTTCAGTTGGGCTTAGGATATCTGCCAGTCAGGCAATCCTAGCTAGAATATTCTTTTGTTTTTTTTTTTTTTTGTTGTGTTTTTATTATTATTTTATTACAGTTGCTTAAGTATTTGGCTTATGTTTATTTTATATTTTATGCTGATTCGCTTTGAACAAGACTTCACGCACAACCGCACACACGCACCACTAAACGTTTGACTCTGAGTGCGTGTGTGCGTGTGTGTAAAGTTGGCATAGTTTTTGAGGTTTTGCTTGAATGTATGCAGCACACTTGTGGCTCATGTTGTATTAATATAATCACTTTTGGGATTTTGTGGCTAAACAACAACGAGAGCAGCAACAACAACAACAACAATTGTCTCAGTGCTACGAAACACCACTCACATGTTAAACAGATATTAAACAAGTAAGAAGTGCTAGTCGGGAGCTCCCGACTAGGGAATACCCTGAACCCTCTTATTCCAACACCAAATGCAGTTCGCGCTACGCGCTTGTTTAAAGTAAAACAGGTAAATTAATAAAAAAAAATGTTCCCTTGGCAGGGTTCGAACTCGCAACTGTCCGCATTACTTACTGCCGACTCTACTCAACAGCCACACCAGCCACAAAAAAAAAAAAAATAGTTTCCCCTGTAGGGCTTGAACACTTGCCACTGCCTCTACTCAACAGCCACACCAATAATTGAGTCTTATTGAGAAAAAATGAATTAAATAGCAGCACAGAAAACAATCGCAATTGCAATTCGTTTGATAGAATTCGAAGCAGACGCACATGAATGTGTGTGTGTACGTGCATACAGAAATTCTTGGAATTTGCGCTAGATGCCGAAAACACGTGGGCAGTCAAACCACAATTTTTGTGTGTTTCTTAACCGATCTTATTGCAATTTTCTACAGTATATTATACCATAGAATATTTGTGTATTCTCAAAAAGTCAATTGCATTAAAATTGCTTAAATTGGTATTGCACAAGCAGGGTTATTAACTTGATTTATAGCTCTGCGGTGGTAGCGGGGAGGTAGCGATAGGTATAAAATGAAAGATACTTGATATACATATAATATTCTAGAAGCAACATATCAAGTTTGGTGACTCTAACTCTTAATATATACCCAATTTGCTCAAAAAACAGAATGTTGATATCGATTTTTATCGATTGCTTGGAAACGGAGTAAGTTATCGATTATCGGAAACAAACTCGATCTGCGCGGGAACTATGAGCATCTAAATCTAAAATTTCAAGTCTCTAGCTCTTATAGGTTCTGATACCCTTGCGTTCATACATACGGACAGACAGACAGACGGACATGGCTAGATCGACTCGGCTATTGATGCTGATCAAGAATATATATACTTTATGAGGTCGGAGATGCTTCCTTCTGCCTGTTACATACATTTGCACAAATACATTATACCCTTTTTAAACATTTTCAATGGGTTCAGGGTATAACTATGACTATGAGGGTTAGTTTATGTTTGGGGTTCTTGGTAGTCGCCTTCGCAACCCTCCTACGCTCCTTACCTTTTGCCCTACTCTCGCGTCCTGCGACCCATCATCTGGCACTCTTCCTTCTTGCTGGCTGTTGGACAGTTTTGCTAGCCGCTCCTTGATTATGACAGTTACATGTCATATTTTGAATATTTCATGCATCACGCTCTAGTCCTTGCTCTATCTCCCGCTCTCTTTTTATGAGCTCCTGCCCAATACCCTAAATGCCTCAACTGTTGTGCCCTAGAATTTGCGGCATGCAATCGCATTTGCCACTGCATGAGGCAAACACACGCACACACACACACGCACACACACACACACGCACACACACACCCACTTAGGCACACACCTAACCAAACTTTAGCACACATTAAATAAATTGATGTTAATTCGGCACTAGAGAAAATTCAGATCTCATCAACTTAATTTAAGTATGTCTTAAAGAAAAACTCGACTTATATGCATAAAAAAACAATTACAGTGAGAACTCGGTTAACGCGCCATTTTATTGGCCGGATATCTGTTTGAGTCGGAAAGTAAGCACGATTTACTACATTTCCCTTTTGCAGATATGTGAGAAAAGTGCAGCTCGAAAATGCTGAGTTTGTCAAAATAACTTTGGAAACAGAGTATTGTGCCATTTAAGATCCTACTATTCCACAGATCTTTCCTGCAGCAGCTTTTTGATATAGTGGACCGATGTTCATAAAATTTTGCATTCATTTGAATCTAATGAATCCCGAGTTTGGTCAAATATAAAGAAAGGTTTCCATACCAGAATTCCAATGGCAGCTATACAAAGGTCCCGACATATGTAATGCCTATAGATAATAGCTTTAACACTGTGAAACTAATTCGTTTAGAAACGGACTATATCGGACTGATGGCTATAACATTGTAGATTACATTTTGTATATAATTCCACTTTTGTAGCTTATTTTCAAGATTTCTTTTTGTAGAAAAAATGTGTGTATTTATAAGCAATACCTGTCTCCACTCAAAATTGCTCTGAATCGACTTGCAAACCTTTTTCAAACCACTTTCTTAACTTTTGTAACTTTCTGACGCTCTGCTACATGAAACTTAGTTTATTTCCATATATATCGTTTATAATTTAAACTCTGAATTGTTCTTAAACCGCTTTTGTTAACCAATTTGCTTTGGCCTTAGTTGAGAACGTCTAGATTTGATATGGTTTATGTGGTTTCTTCTTATCTATGAGGCACTTGTCACATGCTGAGCAAAGAGCTGCCAGCTTTTGCCAGTTGGCTCTATTAACTCTCTATCACAGCCTGCCACCAAACACCCCCCAGACCGCCCACTCCACCCCCTTATGCCTTATCTATAGCCTGACATCCATTCAGTGCCCAGCTGTTGTTGTTGTTGTTGCTGTTGTTGCCATCATTTCGTCATGTTAATTTGGCGAGGCTTATGGCTTTTGAGGCGACAAACAGCAGCAGCAGCAACACCTCTTGCTGCTAGAGAGAGAGAGAGAGAGAGAGAGAGAGAGAGAGAGAGTGAGTGAGTGAGTGAGTGAGTGAGAAGGAGGGAGAAAGAGAGAGCGCGCTAATGGCTTTCTTCTTGCCTTACCTTTGCTGCGTGGCCATCAAAAAATAACATAGCATACATTTGTGCGTTGCTTATGTAACGCAGCGCTGCCTTGACATTCACACTGTCTCTCCGTAAATGCGCGTGTGTGTGTGTGTGTGTGTTTGTGTGCGTGTTGTGTAAGCATCGTTACGTGCACACACATAAAACGCGCCTCCTAATGTTAGCATCATTAGCCAGCATCACCAGGACCTTGCTCCACCTGCTGCCAGCCAGCCTCTCCAACTCAGTCTTCTGCTTATCTTTAACGCCACACATACACACACACATACACCTGCATATGGGTACTCGAGCATGTGAGTGTATATCTTCTTCTTTGCTTTGCTTGCTTTTTGCTTGTCACCCTTTGTGACCCACGCCCAGCTGGCAAATGCTTCACAGATCCCAAGAATCTGGCCGATCTCTCCGCCAGCTTCCAGCTGCTGGCCTATGCCTCTTTAATGCTGATGACATCGCACACTGCACTCGGTCTAATCTAGTGCAGGCTGCTGCTGATGACAAAACGCGCATAATGGCCAGACCAGACACAGAATGCGAGAGAGAGAGAGAGCGTGAGTGCGTGTGTGAGAGGTAGCGAGAGAGAGAGAGAGCGATAGAA